AAGGCAAAGGTAATTAAAAAAAAAAATTTAAAAAAAAAGTGATTTTTCGTTTAGATTTTGGAAGAATAGGCTTATTCTACTTTATAATTCACTAACTAGGGGAAAAATAAGCATACTAAATAGTTTTGCATGCTATCACAAAAAAAAAAAATTAAAACCCGTTGTTTGGGTTCACTCTCCCCCTTAAGAGAGTGAAAGTCTCTGAAGGCTCAAATTTGATAAATGTAAAATCCCACATTTAAAAAATATGTGAAGAGTAAAGTTAAAAAGACACATGTCCCAGGCTTTGAATCAAGCTCTCATTAAACCACAGACAATTAATGACACCATGTCAAGCCAGTATTTCTACTGGAACAGATTAAATCCTTAGGTCAGTGTTAGAGTTTTCCGACAATATTTTTTGTGAAGACCAAACAGAATTTTCTTACAGTAACTTGTTTCGAATAAGCAACTTCTCAAATACTTTATTGTAAAAGAACTTGAATATTAACAATGTAAGTAGTTTTTTTAAACAACTTAGGAACATGAACATAAATGGTTAAAAAGAATTCACTTTCAACAATTACCGAATATACTGAGTGTAACATTAATGAAAGAGAAATAAGCATTAAAATCTTTTCTGAAATACTGTTGTTAGGCATAGTGTAGGTTGATTTATTTATTTTTGTATAAGTTCTTTATACATACTATATATGAATATATTCTTATTATGGGATGATATGCATAAAATTGTTCAGTAGAAGTAAATAGTAGTTAATATTAATCTGTACATATTTTATTTTATGGCATTTGATACTTTTCATAGAAAGGGTGCTGGTTAAAGCTGGTCTGTTACTGCTTCTGAGAAACACAGTTAAGTCTGCTGAAGTTAAGTCGAACACATATGAAACACATAGTTAAGTTATGTGTTGTATTTGTAGTTTATCATGGGGCTTTTTTTCTCCTCTACTTCTTTTCCAGATTCAGGATTTCCAGAAATACCAGAGTTCAAAAAGAGGAGACTGACATATGAAAGAGTTCCTGGAAGAAATGACGGACAAACACGTCTTAAATTCTTTTGAATGGAATGGGGATTTGCATATTACATTTATTTTTTTAAATTCCTGAAGTCTTTGAAGGGAAGTAGATTAATTTTTATTGTTGGTAATTTTTAGAAAGAAATTAGGATTTGAGAATCCTTACTAGTTCAGGATTCTTTTGTCTGTTTTTAAAGTTTTACTAAACAAACTAGTTCCTTGAAGCTTGAGAATTACTGCTTCTTTGTTTGTTCTCAGGGGTGGTATAAAGGTACTTTATCACTCTTCACATAAAAAATAAAATATGAATGGAAAAAAAACAGATGCTGAAGCTCCTGGTGTTTTCAATTCACCTATGTTTGCTCCCTGAGCATGCAGCTTTTCAAATGTAAAAATAGGTTGGATCTGCCAGAATCTCCAGGCTTCTCATAAAGTCTCAAGAAATTTCTTGCACCTAGATCTGTGACTCTTTATAGTTGTCTTTTGGGTTCAGATCCACTTCTTCCTTCTGCCAGCTCCTTTAGGAACCATGTGATAAGTTCCTGAACTTTTTAAATCACAATTAAACTACAGGAAAAACCTGTATGTTTCATGGACAGCATTTGAAGGATGTGTTGAAATTTAGCATGCTCATAGATTTGATTCAGGGAACTATGCTGTGACCCTCACTTTCTGCATAACCTGGTGGAGGCTATTTGTTGTCATCTATGTTTTTGAGCCTTCTAGAATGCATTGGCAAGTAGGGAGCTGAGAGTCATCTGGGAGGCATTTCCAGATACTGTAGGCTACAACTAGAAGGGGTGAGAGATAAGGAAAAAAAGCTATCTGAACTGTGAGCTACAGAAGAGCATAGGATAGTGTCCAAACCCTCCTTTCCATCAAAAGATTTGGCAACAAAACTGGAAATATGTATGGGAGCAATGGTAGACAGTAGCTCCATTCTGCTGCAGGAATGCATACACAGTTTGCACGGGCGTGCCTGCCAGCTCCAGGATGTCTCTGTCTGATCAGTGGCCTTCAGCTGAGATGAGGTTTCAAACCCACAAACCCTTTTAAGCTTGATGCAGTAACAGAAAGTGTGTGGGGGGAAATAATAAAGAAAATAAAAACCCACTACGTTTATGGTTTATGCTTGCAGTTAAATACTTATTTGACATTAAGCACATATTCACTGTATGGATAAATGAAAAAAGGGCTTAAGGGAGAAAGTGTTGGTCTCTCAGAGAAAATAGATTGCTGATTTTTAACTGAATTCTTAAAAGCTATGATGACAGCACTAATCACAATTTTAGTTCACAGTAATATCCCCATATTATTTGTACCCAGATTATTTGCAAGACTTTAGAAAATACCTTTCACGGGTGATAATATAAAAAGATTTCTAGTAAAATTGCAACCAAGCCAGCGTTTCCCTGAATAAGATGAAGACTTATATAAAAATTGCAGTTTGCTTACTATTTCTGGCCCATTTTTGTGGTCATCTGACCTAACCATTTTCTGTCTTTTGCATCATGGTCTGACTCTGTTTTTTAAAATTACCTCCCAGTTTGCGAGAACCAGGAATCTCTTCTTTTAAAGTGCAGCTCTACAAAGTCTCAGTCACAGAAGACCACAGCTGGAGAAAATTATAGCTGCCAGTACCAAGCTATGTATTTATGTCTTCCTTTCCCACAGGCAAGGGCTGACACCAGAACTTTCACATGAACAGTTGTGAAAGAGTAGCTTAGATAATCTATAGGTTACTTTGAAAACAAAGACATGTTGTCTACATTAAATAAGAAAATTCAAATGCTGTCTGCATTAAGTTTCATTAGGTAGAAAAAATGTCAGTGTACAGTTAATTTAAGGGCAATGTAGTGGAAAATAAGGAAAAATGTTTGCAATGACTGATTGCTTTACTGTATTTGTTTATGACAAATCTCAATTTCTCACAGATATGGACACATTGACAAATTTATCAAATATGACATTCTTCCCCCTCGTCAATTTAATGTAGAGTAAAATTACTATGGCACTACAAAGATGCGCTCCCCTCTCCCCCCCCCCCGAAGTATCTATAACTAAGAATTAGAAAGCAACTAATTCTTACACCAAAACATGCAATACAGAACCTAATCACCAGTCCTCCATCAGCAGGTAGGGACATTCCATTCCTGGAACAAGTTCGTAAACTTTTTATGACCAGGCAGGTGGCACCTGTAGGTGTCTTGCTGATAGACTGAGGGAGAGGACAGTGAGCAAAGGGGGTCTTGTGGTTCCTGTGAGGCACTTAGTGTACAGATGTGTGCACTCACAGTGTGCTTTACTGGGGGCATCCTGTGGAACCTGTTGCCATCAGATGGTGTGAAGGCCTCTGTGCAGCAGACGGCCCTCTTGGATGGGCTTTGGTAAAGCCTGTGAAGGGAGCTAAGATGCTGCCCGCAGCTCTCCACCCCACTGCAGATTAGACCTGTTAAAGCAGAGGCAGCAAAATGCAATGCTTGTCCTGGTCTAAGGCATCGCAGTGTTGAGTTCAGCACAGTAATGCAAACCGAGGTACACTAACAGCTGTCCTGTAGACTGGGTAGGTAAGAGACAACCTGTTCTGCTGCCTACAGAAGCAGACAGCTGCCCAGGCTCATTTGTCAGGTTCCTTGGTTACACCTAGAAAAGGGGACCTGCAAAAGCTGAGCCGCTAAGATGCTGCCTTATCTACCCAGCACAAAATGACCAGCAGTGGCGTACTTCATCACACTGATTCCCAACACAAAGAGCCTCAATGCCAACTAATCCCACTCTGGAGCTCCTTCTGACACTCAACTTTTGTCACAGCACATGGCCTGGGAGGGCAGAGGTGGCACTGCTGTTAATCCTCTCCCTGCTTGTACCCAGCAGCTCAGCTGCACACTGCCCTGAGAGCAAAGGGGTGCAGCAACCACACTCCTCTGGAGAGGCTGGAATCCGTTTCTGAGGAATAACCACCATGCTCAGAGGAACATCGTGGGGGAATGGGGTCTTTCTATCCACCACTGGTGCAAGACATTGATGCAGCCAGGATCTGCAGTGTGCTCACAGTGGTGCTCCTCTAACGCGTGCTGACTGTGGTGCTCCCGCTGAAAAGAGACCACGTGGAACTGGGCAGGGCAGCCAAGAGACAATAGCGGCTGACTGGCTGTCCAGCAGCTCTCTGCTGCACATTGTGATTTGGCTACTCCTTATGCCAGCTCAGCAGCCACTCCAGAACTTGAGCTAAGCCAGGAGGTGTGTGCAGCAGTGGGAGGGGGATGGGGGTGGGGAGAGAAACAGATGTGAGAATGAGGGGAGATGTCAGGAGGTAAAAGAAATAGGAAAGACTTGCCAGGGAGGGAGTGGCCAGCACCCAGGTGATGGCTGTCCCAGGCCTGTTGAAGCATATGCTCATCAGTACCTTTGACTTTAGCATTTTGACCCCTGATTGCCCCTGTGCAAGCGAGATTAACCGTGCTTTCTCTGGACCTCAGCAGTGCATACCTGTGTCAAGTACTAGAAGAAAACCGCCATATTCAAATAGCCTGCTGTGAAAGGAAGCCAGAGCAAAGAAAACCTCTTAAGGAGGGAGGTTCTCTCAAGAGAATGTGTATTTAGAGGCACAATACATATTGGCAGTATTACAGCTCTTACGTTGGTGTCTTTCTGCAGGACAGCAAGCATGAAAATCTTTTGACAGACATCAGCCTAGAGGACACCTGCTGCCCCATTTCAGTTCACATTCATGAACATTAAGTACTCAGAGTTCTTCCTTACAGTTTCAAGACGTGTAAGTGAGCCTGATAATATTGTTACTATTTACCACAGAAATAGTAAATAGCTATAAATAGGATTTTTCTATTAATAAGATTTTCTAAAAATCCAACAGCAACCTTCTCTTCCCAAAAAAGCAAAGCACTTGAGGCCTCCCCTCCCACCGCAAAATCCAGGTACCCTCCTCCTTACAGTATCTGCTCTTTGTTACAATTACACAATGAGTTCAAAGCCAATAGTGATAGGAATTTTATTTCCAAACTTCTAAAAGATTAATACAAACAATAGAAAGTAGACAAAATTAAAAACCTATTAAAAAAGTTAGTTATCCTTGTAAAAGTGCTCTATAAAAAAGTGAAGGCAAATCACCAAGTACATTTTAGTAAGTTTCATGTATTGCAAACCTTGACAGTGATGCATGCAAGTGTCTTTGGGTGTTCCTGGATTTTTAGTGTCTGTTTGGTCACATTTTAAATACATCAAGAAAATTCCACCATAGCAGTACTTTTACAAATACATATTAGAAGAAGGATTACAGATTAGAAGTATTGCAAAAAACATGCTTTAGAAATCAAGCCTATGCTATACATTGTGTCCAGCACGTCTAAGACGTGTCATTTATGCACTGAGATGCACTTAAAAAAACCCTGAATTTGGCTCCAGGTCTTGCTAATGGAAGCAAAATTCCCCCTGAGAATGTTACTTCAGCACTAACAGCATTTAGCTCTGTACCCTAATTATTCAGTTTTGAGTTGTTTTCTTTAGGGAAAAAAAAAATCATTTTTGCTATCACTCTGGTGTTGCAGTTTATCAAGACCAAAGTAAGTAATTTGGTAAAAATTCGCATGTTTTTCATTTCTAAAATGTAAACTTCTTAGGTAATATTTGTACAGTTAGCATAGTATGTAACAGCGGTGATGATTATGAAAAGAATGAGAGTTACTGTATCAGGGATGTTGACACTTTTGGTCTGTGTTTGGCCCAGCCACCTGTAAGAGTTTATATTTTCCCTGCCAAGTTCACTGATAAAACGAGAACTTCGTCCTTGGAGAGAGAGCTTCTTGTATAAACTGTATTAAATGGTGTTCTGTGATTGGCTTGTCATCTGTCAAGGACATTTGAAGGAGAAAACAAAGAGGAGTTGATGAAGTAAGGACCCCCGACTCAGTTAGAAAAGACCCCCGAAGCAGACTGCGCATGTGGAAGGGAAATTCCAAAGTACTCATCCATGCGCTGAAGGGATGCACTTGTATAACCAAGGGGGTGGGACTGAGAACCTCTGGTGGGGAGGTGCTGGCCACACCTGCCTAGGCAGATGTGCTCAGTTGATTGTATGAAAGCACACAGCTCGTTTTTTGGGGTAGCTTGCTCCACACGAAGGACCAAGCTGTCTTTACTGGGGACGCCTGCTATGTGTGAGCCTACTAACCCTCCGAAAAACGCAGCTGCTGCAGAGGATTTTATGGCATTCGGAGTTGGTAAGATACCCCATGAATCACACCTGAGTGAGTAAGGTGTCGTATTTCCTCATCGTTTTCTCTTTCTCTCGGTTCCCGTTTACTTCGGCCACTTCTTTGTAATAAATACTGGGCTTTTTTGTTGAGATTTCAATGGTGTTATAGTTTTCAGTATGCTTCGAACCCACCCTAATACAGTTACATTAAAAAACTTTAAAAATATTACCAAAAGATAGTGGAATACAGATTCACAAGAACAAATGAATAAATATCTAGGACACTGTTTTTAGCCACATAAAAGTCAGGACACAAAGGGAGACTTTTCTTGTGAAGGAAAGGCAGTTATTATTCATGTCATGCTTGAAGGCAATTCTCCGATGACCTTCCCTATAAGAGGAAAAAGAAAAGATTTATTAAATGCCATCTTCCTAAGCTTTCTTTTACAAATTACAACAGAAAAGCTCCTTCGCACTGAAGAAAACATGAATAACCTTTCTTTGTTGGATATTGGTATCTTTGCATATCATAACATTTCTTATTGGCTTTTTTACTTTGCTCTGATTTTCTTATGATCCTAAGATAACAAAATAATAATAAACTTCATATTTTATCTATTAGCAAAAAAATACTAAATAACATCCTGGGCTGAGCTATGCATTTCTCAAAGCATAATAAATTAATCATCAAATTCTTGTGAAAATATTTTGTAACCTATCTGAATGATGGGATCAAAGTTGAATCCTACAATACATACATCCATACACACAGAGACTGCCAAAAAAAAAGGTAGAAAGGCTGCTTCAGTAACAGAAGAACACATGCAACAGTCACTATCAATTTTATCTTATTTGCATGAATAATTAAGGGTAGCACCTAAATTAAGAAAATCTACTTTTGCTTCTCCCCTGCCAAGTTTTTTCCAGAATAGCATCTCATGTCCAGTTGTTCTCTCTCTTTAGGTTCAAACCTGTTTTGTTAAACCTATGTAGCAACAATCAAAGCCACGCTACTGATGAGGCAAAAGCTCATCTGCAAGCTCAGGAACCCTGGCAGCAGGAAGGGGAAGATTTTATGCTCTAGCTTAAATTCTGCCCTTAAGAAAACATCCCTTTTGTATTTGACAGCACTCTCAAAGAAGGAACAGAATTCAGTGGCTCTTCCTCTCTCTGCAGATTTTTCAGCTCTTTAGCAGGAACTATTTTTATTTTTTTCTTTTAAAGAAGAGTAACCCTTCTAAATATCCTACTTCCACATTCATTTGTCACAGAGAAGTAATAGATTTTCCAGGTTATGGTGTGGTCCTGCCTAGGGCTACTGGCATGCATGGCGTTTCTTTCTCCTGCTGCAATCACTGATAACCTGTACGACTACAGGAGAGGCCGGAGTGGGAATCACAGAACTGGATCCCAAAGATTTGCAGATGCTGGATGGTCACCCACCCATGTACTCTGCAGGTGTTGCACAGGTACAAGCCAGGCAGAGTGCTAAGGCAGAGTTTAGGGAGCAGCTCATCCCTTAGACCTGTGCCAAAAAAGGATGTGATTACTGAATGCCTCAGCTCCTCTTTGCTTCCATCACTTTTGGTGCTGTACCAACAGTAAAAACAGAAAGAGCTTAAGGACAGACATAGCCAAATAAACTGCAAGATGACATTGAAGACCAAATGTATTTTAACAAGGTTCTTGCTTAAGCTGTGAACTAGTTATCACAACGCATGCAACTGCTACAGCTTTGTCTTCTCCAGGCTGGGGATGTGACTGGTTTTTTTGTCTGTCTGTGTCAAACACAACTGTGTGTCTTAGACAATTTTAATTAGTTTGGATGCTGCTAAGGACTCTAGAATTGCTCAAACACAAAAACACAACCATCCTAACAAAAAAAACCCAACTCACAAACAAAACACTTCTAGAAGGGTGTGGGAAAAAAACATGCTTCAACTGCCACACCTAAAAGAAACAGAAAACCATTTGCAGAGCCAGTAGGGAAATGATAAACACTTATCCACGAAGAACTCAACATTTAAACAACTATCACCATGTTTCTTTGTCCCTGCAAAGGGCTTGAGTTTCAAATCAGAGTGGTTGTCATGGTATCTGTGACTTTATTACCTGTTTTCAGAGTAGAGCACAGGATCGGGGTTCTCGGAAGGGATTGCTCCCCGCAGGAACCCCAACAAGCAAGGCATCTTTGCAGGCATTTTGCATACAGTACTGCTGGAGTTCTGCAGCTGCCTGAGAGACCTGAAAAGGAAAAACAAACCCGGAGAGGAAACTAATTCATTCATAAGCATCTACTAGGCATTTCCTCTTGAAGAGCTATTATCAAACAGAGCTGGAGTGCAGCCAAGTCAGTTCTTGGATTCTAAAACACCAAGTAAGTCAGAACAGAAGCACATTTACAAAGCTCTGAGGAATCATGCATGAAATACTAGGCTAGTGATGAGCCAAGAAAGTGCAGAGGACTGAGGTTCAAGTGTGATGCAAATTGTCCTCATTAAAATGCACCGAGACCTGACCACAGTATTTTCCAATCTACTTTTTTTCAGGTTTATATCTGAACTCTTTGAGTCTCAGATAATTTATTAAAAGGATTTTAATTTCCAAACTTTTAAGCAACATAAACCATACTAAGGAATGAAAGAAAGAAGAGGAGGATGTAAAGCTTTTTAAGACCGTCCAAATTGTCACCTTCCCCCAGCAGTGAATTCAGAACTTCAAATCCACATTCTGGCCCCAAAGAGGAGAGTCCAGAGCTGCAGAACAACCCCAGGATCCCAAAGATAAGATCTCCTCAGCACTGAACTCCCCTGCTCTCCCTGTGGATGCCAAGTCAGTCATGTAGCTGTATTCTTGAAGGACAATGTAGAGGAATTCACAATGTCCCAGACACACACTAGGAATAGCTGCATGGAACTGTCAAAATCCATGCCATCTGATAGTTTTTTTATAAAAGGAAATAACAGACCATATTGATGGGAATACAAGTTCCCCTCTTAGCTTACCTCTGATTTGTTACAGGACTCCTGAAATAATGATTTTTCTTCCTACACAACTTTGCAGGGTTGCCAAAACAATAACCAGAAGGACCACCCACACTTCCCAGCCTCCTGTCTAAAGGGGCCACCCAGGAGCCCTGATGGAATTTTGGTTCTGGGCCATCCCATCTAACAGCATCTAGAAGTACATGGGAAATCTGGCCTAGTACATTTGCTGTTTTGCTGCTCTCCTGCTCAACACCTTCCAACTCTCCTCCATGATCTCCTCCAAGACACTCAACCTGGTACTGCCCAAATTTACTTGGCTGTTGTCAGCACTTCAGGGAGATGCTGTGAGGAGCATTTCTCTTCAGCTTCCCAGGTTCTCTTGGGCAGAGTACAGGGAGAAGTAAGGATTCCTGCTACATCAGTGGGCTTCGTCACTTCTTCCTTACTTGAGGAGAACCTTTCTAGAGGCTGCAGGGGTGTCCTGTAGTCCCTTGGACCCCCTGCAGCACTACCCCCCTTGCCTCAACCACAGCTGGTACCCTTGCTGGTACCTGACTATGCACCACAGAGATGCCACCTGCCAACACTGATCAGGCCAAGGCTGCGTGGAGATCTTTTCTGGGAGAGTTAGCAGTTCCTCACAGCATCTCCTTGCACTTTCCTATCAAACTTTCCAGCACATACTAAGCTATATTATATGGGTATAATTTTTTTTTTTTTTTTTTTACAAACCAGATCTACTCTTAGCCCTACCTATGCCCCATAAAATTCTTCATTCCTTCAGTTCACATGAAAAGTACAAGGGTTTCTGCCATATTTCATCACACGACAACCACGCTCCCTGCAACAGCCTCCTGTGTGCAAGATGTGTGTGGGTACTTCTTTCTACTCAGTTTCCTCTTTCTGAAAATATTTTTCCTGTCTGCTTTTTCAGCTGGCAGAGTACACAAAATCACCATGGAACTTTGCAGTATGAAATGTATTTTTAAAAATCCTTTCATAGCCTTCTTCCATCTGGAAACACATTGTCTATTCAAAGTAGCCGAAACAATGTTTTCTCCTATACCAGTGTCTGCTAAAACTGAACCAAGTGGTTTTTCCCCAGGTGAATATAGTCCTCATTAGTTTTATACTGTATCTCAAGAAAGCCAAATGATACTTTTTATAAGATACATTTTTAATCATGTGTCATTTCAAAGCCATGAACGGGTTCCTAGAACAGCAGACTTGAAAACAGATTGCTGCGTGCAATGCTGCAAAGGAAAATGAGACCGAGGCCAATCAAGGCCAAGTCTCCCTGGAATACAAGCAAACCCATAATAAATGCATAGGAAGTCCAGTTCCAGAATACGTTATGGGCACAAAGTACCTGCAAACTATAAACTATGTATTTTATACCCCCTCCCCACCCACAAAAAAACCCCGCAACGGGGCGAGGGGGGTATATATTCCTCAAAATGAGCAGGAACAGAGATCCGGGCACCAGCAATAACTGGTGGTTTGGTCAACCGTTTCAGTGTTAGACAATATCCCTCTTGCCACAAGAGTCTACATTTGTACTCTGAACCGTGCTGTTTCTCAGATTCCCACCCATCACTGCAGTGATAAATCACAGTCACTTGTAGCGAATCAAGCATCTGCTGATTCAGAATGTGCTAATAAAATTTACTAACATTAACAAATTGATTAGGATGATATCCAAAAGCCATAGTGGTTTCACCTTGCAATGAATACTTCAAATTTTCACCAGCCCAGAGTCAGGAGTAATGAGGACAAGTATTTTGAATTATTCTTTAAATCAATTAGCTAAGTTCCTGCAACTCAATGTACCGGCATTGTTGTCAGATTGAGGAAGCTATGTTTTGTGACGGGCCAGAGAAAATGGCGAAAAAAGGAGGTGATGAAAGAAGAGGAAAGCACTGGATATAAATTATTTTGACCTTCATCCCTTCACAGACTGTGCTGGATTTTGTGAGTTGTTGGAAAGAGTCGTTTTTGCAAAGTAGTTGTGGACTCCCCCAGACCTGCTGCGAGCTAAGAGCTGTCTTGGACAAGTCACCAATCCTGAGGAGCTGGCGGATGACAGGACCGCCTCACCAGTCCGCTTTTGTCTGGAAATATGCAAGCAGGAGAAGGTTCATGCATGCGTAGCAAATGGCCTGCCTTCTCCAAGTGTGCCAGCGGGTACCACACCGCGCTGCCTCCCCCTGCAGATCCTGCCAGCTCTCCGAAGCGGGGGGGAGTCGCCTGGCTCCGCTGCGAGGAACTACTCCCGATTATCTGCTTGCTTGTGCAGAACTAACGAGGGGCTACTGTATTATTTATCACGGCTCCTTCTACAGGGAACAGCACTCGCTTCACCGCGCCCGCGGGGCTGGGGCTCCGAGCCCCGGGGCACACGCACCCCTCACCCCCTTCCTTCCCAGGGCGCGGACAACGCGGAGGAAAGGGCAGTAGGGGATTCTGTCCCGGTCCTGCCGCGGAGGTCAGAGCACCCGCGCCTCCCCCCGGCCCCGGGTCCGGCACCCCCGCTCACCTTGATCCTCTCCACGGCCGCCTCCAGCTTCAGCTGCTCCACCAGCCGCTGCATGGTGCTGAGGCTGCCGCCCGACGACATGCCGAGTCCCAGGGGAAGACGGAGGGCGTGAGGCTGCGGAGCAGAGCAGGGCAGGGCACAGCCGGGCAGAGCGGTTCCGGCGGGCTCGGCTGGGCTCGGCTCGGCTCCGCTCCCTCCGCCCCGGGGAGGGGCCGCGGCCGCTCCGCCCGCAGCGCCAGCGGCACCGCCCCGACGGACACCCCCGAGCGCTGCCGCCTGCGGCGCCCTCAGCGGCACTGGGTGGGGACTAAAGGTGCTTCGGGGGATGAAAACTCGTTGGTTAAAATAGGACAGCAAGGGGAGAAAAATAAAAGCGAAGAACAGGGAACAAAACAAAAAGGGGGGGGGGGAGGGAGAAAAGGAGGGGGAAAAAAGGAAAAGGGAACAAAAAGAGTAGGGGGAAGGAAAAAAGGAAAGGGAAGACAAAGAAGAAAAACGAGGGCAAAGAAAAAAAGGGAAGGGTAGAAAAAAATGGAAAAGGGAGGGGAAAGGAGCAGGAAAAAGGGGGGGGGAAGAAGTGAGGAAAAAAAAGGAGGGCAAGAAAGAAGAGATGAAAGAGAATCCATAGGCTCAAAGAATGGTTTGGGTTGGAAGAAATCCTAAAGATCATCTAGTTTCAACTGGGCAGGGATGCCACCCACTAGATCAGGTTGCTCAGAGCCCAGTCAAACTTGCCCCTTAACACTGACAGAGACGGAGTTCTAAGCATCCTCCTCTGCCCACAGGCAGCTGTATGGCTCAAACTGCCTGGCGGCTGCTGCCAATGTTGTTTCATCCTCACCCAAAACTGTTCATCACCATTTCACCAGTGGCCATAAATAAGTCCCTTCACTTTTTGGCAGGGGTTTGCCGGCCATTAGTTTGCTGCCTTGTTGAAAAGTCAGTAGGTTGAAGCTTATAGCCTCAAATGGTTGCTCTGAACTTAAGACAGGACAAACAGGGGATCAGACCCAGCCAGCATGGGTCTGTGGAAGGCAGGTCCTGCTTGACCAGCCTGATGTCCTTCTATGACAAGGTGAGCCAACTAGAGGATGAGGGAAAAGCTGTGCATGTTGTCTACCTGGACTTTAGTAAAGCCTTTGACACCATGTCCCATAGCACTCTCCTGGATAAACTGGCTGCTCATTGTGTTTATGAGTGCGCTCTTCACTGGGTATAGAACTGGCTGGATGGCCAGGCCCAGAAAGTAGTGGTGAATGGAGTTAAATCCAGTAGGTGGCTTGTCATGAGTGGTGTTCCCAAGGGCTCAGTATTTGGACCAGCCCTGTTTAATATCTTCATTGTGTACCTGGACAAGAGGATTGTGCTGGTTTAAAAGTTAACCAGCAGGGGAAATGAACTCAACTCAAAGGAGAGATTATAAGTCAGAATAACAATTTATTAAAATAATACAGTAAGTACAATCATACAAACAAACAATTGGTCTTAACCCACAAAACCCAAATGTATAACCCAGTACCCTGGGGCATGAACAAAGTGGTGTTCCTTGGGCCCCACTTGAGTCCAAAGTAAAGGGAGAGGGGAAAAACCTGCTGGTGGGAGAGCTGTTGCAGTCTGGTCAGAAGTGGTGATTGCAGTCCAGTTGAGGGTGGTGGTCTAAGTCTGGTTGAGAGCGATGACCTGCAGTCTTCCTCTGGATCCCACGAGTGGTTAAAAATGTTCCAAGACTCCAGGATTATATATCCTCTAGTTCAGGCAGGAATGCTCAATACTTCCCTCAGGGCGGGGAGTTCCACAAAGGGTCTGAGGACAAGAGCATCCTCCTATCTCACAGGCCTCTTAACACCTAGTTTATAGCCTGAGGAGTCAGGCTCTATGGGCAGAGGGTGCGAATAGTCTATTGACAACAGTTTCTGGGAAATGGCATGGAAGGCTATAGAATACACAGTTTTGGGTTACACCCATATCATGATGAACTGGTCTCAGCTGTCCTAACTAGGACAAGGATCAAGTCCTTAGCAAGTTCATAGATAACACCAGGTTGGATGGGAGTGTTGATCTGCTGGAGGCCAGGAAGGCTCTGCAGAGGGGTCTGGACATGCTGGATCAATGGGCTGAGGCCAAAGGTATGAGATTCAACAAGACCAAGTGCTGGGTGGTGCCCTTGGGTCACAACAACCCCAGGCAGCGCTACAGGCTGGAGGAAGAATGGCTGGAAAGCTGCTCAGCACAAAAGGATCTGGCAGTGCCAGTTGACAGTGGCAGAACATGAGCCAGCAGTGTGTCCATGTGGCCAAGAAGGCCAGTGGCATCCTGGCATGGATCAGAAACAAAGTGACCAGCAGGACCAAGGAAGAGATTATCTCTCTGTACTCGGCACTGATGAGGCTATGCCTCGAGTCCTGTGCCCAGTTCTGGGCCCCCTACTTCAAGATAGACATCAAGGTGCTGGTGTTGCTGAACTTTAGGAACTCTCTAAACATGGACAAAGAGTCAGGATTAGAAAGGAGACATCGTTTATTTTGCGCGGGGTGCAAAGTGGAAGTTTTTCCACAAATCAAGCACACAAAAGCGTAAAAAGCAAGGAAATGTATACACTAAGGTTTACAAAAACCGACCTATCTAATACATAGTAAACATCTACCTAACGCATAGTCTTTGAACCTGGCAATCTTGTGCAATACTTGTTACAGCCTGTATGGGCCTGTCTCTCGTGATCTCTGATGGTCTTTTGGGGAGGTGCCCCCTACTCAGTTTCCAGTGAAGTTCAGATCAGGACAGGCAGAGCCCTATGTTGAGTGCCAATTAGGATGTGATCTGCAGCTCCGGCTTAAACAATTGCCAAGCAGGAGGTAAAACACAAAAGCTTTCCATAAGCATTAAGCAACACCTGTTAAACACACCTGATAACATCTATTTGTATTCAAAAGAAGGGTTAAAGGTGAGAAAGATATCATCAGCTTCCATCTGCAACAGAGATCAAAGGAAGGAATGGAGAATTCTGCTTAAACATTCAGAGAAGTCTGTTTGAACACATCACTGGAGCGTGTCCAGAGAAGGGCAACAAATCTGGTGAAGGGTCTGGAGCACAAGTCCTGTGAGGAGTGGCTGAGGCAGCTGGAGTTGTTTACCTTGGAGAAAAGGAGGCTCAGTGGAGATCTTATCCCTCTCTACAACTGCCTGGAAGGTATTGAGGTGGGGAATTGGTCTTTTCTCACATGTAACAAAAGAAGAAATTATCTCAGACTGTACCAGGGGAGGTATAGTTTAGATATTAGGAAAAATTTCTTCATGAAAAAGGTTGTAAAACATTGGAATAGTCTGCCCAGGGAAATGGTGGAGGAACCATCCCTGGGAGCATCCAAAAAACCTGTGAATATGGCACTTGACAACATGGTTTAGTGCTGAACATGGTGCTGGTGCTGCTTTGATGGTTGGACCTGATGATCCTATCAGGCTTTTCCAATCTTAATGATTCTGATTCCATAGGGACAACCAGCCACGCACATTCTTGTGCCTCAAAGCCTCAGTATGGTCATGGAAAGGACTCATGCTGAATCTTCTACAAGGTCCTTGTCATTATTATCTTGTCACACTTTTCCCCATTATAATCTCACCATTACCTTGTACCAGCAATACTTATTCATGCACATGCCTCTCTCTAAAGTCAGTTGAATCTACACTGGTTATACTGGGCATAGTATTGTAACTCTCATCACTCTCTGAAAATTTATGCCCAGAAAAAAGACGCCATTTAGAACTCCAATGACATGTTAGGCTAGAAATGCTCAGTAGCCTCAGCTAACGAGGTGTCACTGCAGTGCTGACAGCTTTCTAAAGACACATGAGTTTTTTCTACCCTTCATCACAAAGTTGTGACTGCAGTGCTGCTGCCCAGCAAATTTTTGTGCATTCCATTAATTGATGTCTGCATCTGGTTATTTTTAAAGGGTTCATATGTTGAACAAAGAGGGAACTCGCAGCTTAGCTAGCTCCTTTCTAGAAGGTTGTAGGATACCTGATGACTTCTTCACTCACTTGGTGTCAGGCCACAGTGTTACAGAGATGAAACACCATTGCTGCTGAAAGATACAGTTCTGTCCTCTGAAAAGACTGTACCTCCACTGCACTGATTTCCCACTGTAGTGTCAGGTCAAGAAATTAATCATGGTTACAAGGAAGGTAGGCAAAAAGGGAAAATAGATCTGTGTTTTTACTGCATATTTGCAAAACCCAGATACTTGGGAAAGGGCAGAGCAAAATGAGGCACAAGGTCAGGAGCAGCTGCAGAGCTGTTACTCTGTGAAACTGAGGGCACAGGATTAGATCCTCTTGCATACACCTGCCTCATTCTTTTACCATTTTATTTGTGCTTCATTCTTTGCTTCTACCACAGCAACCTAATCTTCCCCCTTCCACTCTTACAGGAGACTGTGTTCTGGGGGGATGAAGCAGCAATAAACCCAAGCTGCAGTCTCTCACTTCATAAGCACCTTTGCAGTGCCCCCAAGATTATTCCATGAAAGCAAGCACAGCTTATTCTATATAGTTTCTTTTACAACTTTTAGATTTAAATTGACAATTGAATACAAAGTGAATTAAGTTTATTGCTACACAGTCCACAGAGAAGGGGAAATCTAGCAGTTCCTCTTCAGTTTTACTACTGCGTACAGAGACTTAGCATAATGCTTCTATCATGCTTTTGAACATGTGTTATTTTAAACAGAAAACTGAGACAAACATTCCAGAAGTGTGTGAAAGGTAAACTAGAAAAAGAAGCATAAAGAAGACTCTTCTGCAAAGAATGAGGACAGGTCCCATTTGCAGAATCAGAAACTTCTTGCTTCAAAAATTAATCTGCATTTTAAAATGTTTAGCTACTATGGGCTTTGTCAGGAGCAGCACGTTCAAAAGCTGTGCTCCCAGAACCAATCTGCACAGAAGGCAGCTAATCACACACCATCTTCAGCAGTTCCCTTCAGAGGAACTTGCTTTTACAGGTGTCATAAATGACAAGCTAAAGACTATGCTCCCATCTGCCCTTCCCCAGTAAAATTAGTGAGGAGAAATAAGGTAACAGAATCCCTTTTACCAGCAAATCATGGAAACTCTCTGACCTGGGCTGAGTTACAGAGGAAACCAGTCTGCTGTTATGCATCATTTATTCTAAGTACTCCGAGGTCTGATCAGAAGAGATAAACACATTGGATACTTTAGATTTAGAATTTAAAACAAATTCAGTGTGCATATATAAATTTTTATTTACTTAAGGCATCAAAATTGCCCTTTTTAATAAAAGGCTCATTTTTCCCTTTAACCAATACTTTGGTGAAAGAAATGTCACATTTAGTAGACTAATATTCACTGGTATACTTGTTCTGAACAAGCAGGTATAATTCAATGTACAAGATGAAAAAACGAACACAAAATATCTAAACATACTATTTCATTAACTACTCTGTAGAACAAAGAATTAAGGCCTGTTTGCATCACGATGATGATCAATCATGCATCATTTATTCCCACAAAAAATAAAAACCATTTCCAACTGGACCAGGAATAGCAGTAGTCTGGTATAATCCCCATATTGTTTACATAAAAAAAAAAAAACAATTTGGCATCTTAGAAATTAGATTGAAAAGTAGAAGAAAAGAGAGGAAAACAGAAAATGGTCCTTGCTTCGAAATCCTTTTTATGAATTTCCAGAGTCCATTTGCAGGAACCCTTCAATTTAAAGAGGAAAAACAGGACTTTCAAGGTTTGAACTAGGAACATTTTCGGAAAAACTAGAGTTATGGTTCCATTGATGATGAATGTGAAATATCTAGCAAAAATACATTGTTTGGAATAATGAATTCCATACTGAGATCCCCAAGTAAATGGCATATATACATTTAGCTGAGCCTGTTTAATAGGTCTGATTTATAAAAACGGTAAACCTGTATTATGCTTCAGCCTGATTTAAAATTCCTGAGTTTTAGATCACTGCTAAGTCACAGCAGACAAAACTCTGAACGACGTAATGAAAAGTTTTGCAAATCACTTTCAACATTAGCACACATTTAATCATCAATAAAAGTCAGTCTTCCAGGTCCTTCATTTTTCATCCACCGCCGATATCGCTTCCATCGGGGATCCATGGCCATCTTCTTCTTTAACTCCTCCTCTTGTTCTCGTTTATAGACCTGATAGACAGAGAAAAGATTTTAGTAAGGCTGAAGAAACAGCTTAAGTCAGCCTGAAGTGGGATGTGTTTATACTTCAACCATTTGCCAGTTTATTTTTCTTACAGAAGACTGAATTGCAACATGGAAGCAGACCTTGGCCGACACAAAGTGTCAGAGCACCTGCAGCCCAAGAGCCGTAGTCCAGATAATTCCCCTTTTTGCTGAGAGCAGAACTACTCTCTTTAAGATGGTACTGCAAGCTCCAGAACTTTTATTCCAAAGAACTAGATGCTTATGCATTCAACAAAACCAAATACACAGTAAGCAATGGCTAATGCTCCAAAAGCTAAACTTGGAGTCCCTCCTAAGCACACATGCTGTTCAATGCAGCTGTTCAGTTCCTCACTGTAGTTCTCCCATTTCAAAGTCATTATCTATTAGAATACTGCTATGGAACTTTTTATTCCTAATTAAGGTTCTCAACAAAGTTAACATCTCTGTGTCAAGTATTTGCAATACCAACTGACAAATAATTACATTTCTGACAAGAAACAGTGTCATTGTAATGAAATCTACAATTACTAGCAAAGCCAATTGTCCTTAAAAAAAAAAAAAAAGCACCTACATTTTTATTCTGGAAGGCAGTTTATGTAGGTACAGCCAACATCAATCTCAATACCATACATGTTTATGTCATCTCAGTGTCATCTGACTTCTCCTGACTCAGAAGGCAATTTAATTTAAAGTTCTCCTATGCATGAACAAGATTTAAAAATATTATAGATTGCTACATAAATACACCACCTCAATATTCAGTGAAGAATCATTAGAAAACAGAAAAAAAATATTGTGTAGCTCCATGATGCAACCATGTATTGAATACTTGATCTTTCCCATCCTGAAAGGGACACTAGAAAACTGAACAATATGCAAATAGACATCTCCAACGATGAAAGAACAGAGAAGCTTTTGGGGAGAAACACTTAGAGCATGTTTTTCAGCCTAGAAAATACATGACTACATTTCAAATAAGGATATGGTAGTGGCAAACAAAAGCACCAGTAGCCCAAGAAGAGAATAAAGCATGACTATTCTCCATTTTCAGTAATACTGGAATGAGAAGGAGTCCACGTGGCTTCAAGAAACCCCATCTTCTGCAAGTGTTGGTGAACTGCCGACCAGATGGCACAGCAGACACTGAAAGCTTTAATGCATTCCAGTGACCAGGTAAGTTTATTAAAGAAAAACTTATTAAAGCAATTACCTACAAAGACACTATTTTCTCTCCAGGAAGTCCCAAATAAATATTACTATACAGGTGCAACTTTCATGTATTCTTTACTGAAAATCAGCAGCTAGCCACAACAGGAAATGAGTGTGGGCTAAACACACTTCACTTGTGGCAAATACAGCTCTTTTATATTCAGTGACCCAAACATGACTAGTTAAAACATCATGGATCAGAAACCACATTTTTTCTCCATCCTATCTGCCCTTTTCTATGTAACACCTGCTTTGACTAGTAGCACTGCTCAATTTTTGCACTTCCAGATTGTTTTCTAGCAAACCCCTACTAACTGAACATGCATATGCACCTGCCAGCTAGTCCTTTCCTTATATTAGCATCTATTTTACTATTTTCCTCTTCAGGTTTGTAGAGTAATACACCCCTGTCTTCTTTTGAAGAAGCATTCTCCTATCTTTGGTGTCCTGCCACCATCCCATTTCTTTTCCCAGCAGATGCAGGGCAGCAGCATCTTGTCTTCCCCTTAAGCAGGCCAAGTCTGTATTTTCAAGTTTTTCTTTAGAAACCTCTCACCCAGATGGCCCACAGATGCACCTGTGCAGAACAATCAGGAGTATTTTTTCAATCTGCCATGCCCCAGCATCCCAAATCATTCTGGACTGCAAATTCCATGCTGTGGTTAATGTTCTTTTGCTGCTCTCACAGACACCTTAACAATTATATATTGATTATTTAGTAACTGGCTATCCATGGCAAGAGTAGCAGTTGTGGCCTTTTTTACCATCCTCACTTGAACAGGTATTCAGCACTGCAGGAACAGTCCCTGATTCACTGACGGCCAAAGAACTATCAAGAAACAGTTAGGGAAAAACCCAAAACAATAACAACAACAGCAACAACCACAATAAAAAAAAAAAGCCCTGAGCTAGGAATTAAGCTTAGAAGACTGACGACATAGGAGTTTCAGACAATCAGGGTAATCCTTAATACAAATTATTGCTTTTTGGAGAATATAGTCTTCAACCTCCTGTAATAACCTTATGATAACACATTGTTATAAGAAAGCCTTTCATCAGATTAAACCGAATCTTGTACGCATACACAGATGTCCTCTGGCTGAGCAAATCCTTTCCTACACCCATGGGCATAGTCAGGAGCTGTTGTCTACCAGGCCATGTATATAAGAAGTCAAAGGAAACACACCAAGTGATTGTCTCACAGTTTTCAATTTGGAAAGCAATAGCTGAAATTGAAGTAATGCTTCGCACAGACCCATCCCAAGCACCTTCACAAGATGGCTGTTCTTACTCTGGGAGCAATGGGTAACTAACATTAGTTTTTCACCAGGGCTACCCACCTCGTAGTTTTCTCGTATCCACAGCTGCCGTTCAAGAAAGGTCTCTTTTTGATGATCTTCTAAGCTGTCAAACTGAGACTGAGACATTTTCATGTACCTTCGTATGATATACAGCTTCTCTTCCACACCATACTCTTGCCCTTTAATAGTGAAACAATAAATCCACCAACAGTACCAAACCACATATTTGCACAAATAAAAAGGAGCAAGAAGGATCTGAAATAGAAGGATATCATATATCTTGGGCTTCTGATAACCACCCTTTATATCTATTTTATTTTTAATAATGTCTTTGATAATTTCTTCCTCTTCTTCACGAATTTCTTCTTTAGATCGCCTGTTCTTTCCTTTTTCTTTAGTCTTGTTGAGTAAACCTTGTTGTCTAGCAATCTCAGTGGCTTGTATACGGTATTTTGGTACAGTAGCTAAGTAGTTGATAGCTTCATTGTAACTACTCCACCAGCTGAAGAACTGTAATTTAAGAACAGTAAAAGTAAAAAACTTATTTTTATACAGACACATTCCTATCTAGAGGTTTGCCAGGAAAAAAAAAAAGACATAATGCTGTTGCACACCTTTAACCACAGTTACATCATAATAAGGGTAAAAACTGAGGGTAACAGTTCTACTGTGGTATTACAGAAGCTGTAATCATTCCTCTGAACTTAGTAAAGCACCTGGAAAATAGATGTACAGAACTGTATCTCACAGCAATTTACAGTGACAAGCAAGGACAAGCAGGCACTATTCTGAATGGTTTTGTTTATGAGAAGATCGTCAACTTCTCAAGGTTAATGCCAGGCTGTGCCAGCCATTCTCAGAAGCCCCACTCCTTGGAGTTATAAATAAAGTAGCCAATATATGAACATCTGATTATACAATTGTTACCCACTGTTCATTAAACATGGATTAAGTATGTGATGATCTCATTCGCCTGACAGGATTCACTTTGCAAGATTCAACACCGCTCTCTGATCTCCAACTGTCCTCTGAATTTCAATGGGGGTGAAAAAGAACCCAAACAAGAAACCACGAATATACTGCCTGGGTGAACACAGAATCATAGAATATCCTGAGAATATCCTGAGGTGGAAAGGACCCACAAGGATCATCAAGTCCAACTCCTGGCCCTGCACAGCACAGCCCCAAGAATGGATTCCTTCTGAAGACAGGAGGAGCACAATGACTGTCATGGTCAGCTCAGAACTGATGTTGTTCCCATCTAGTGCCTTGTAAATGACATCAGATGAGGCACGGAAATCATGGAAGAAACCAGACAGGCACCTTAGCAAAGGCCAAGAAGCAGAAACAACAAAAAGCGAGACAGGCAAACCAGTTTACAGAGATGCTTACAGTGAATTTGCAATCATCTGGCAGCTGAACTGCAGGAAAGTGTCTCCACTTACAGCCAAATGAAGAAATAAGATGTGAAATGAAACTTTTGCCATTGGAACAAAATCAGAGAAATTAGGTATTTGGTTGCATGTCCCATTAGAACTTATTATTCCAAGCTCTCAAATTCTGATCAATGAGTTTTGTTATTTCAACTTCCAATCTCACTAATCGTGAGATACCTACACTATGGACTAAGCTGTATCTTTATACCTCAAACTTCTTGGCTATTATTAATGATGTTTGAGCCAGTAATCTAACAGATCCCAAAGAAAAGTCATGCATCTTCCTACTCTTAAATATGTGTCAGCAACAGAACAAATTTTCTCACCTAAGACACAGGCTGCTTTCTTGACCTTGGATCTACCACCTTCAGAGTAAACTCTGCTGAAGAGAATTTGCTTCTCTCCTGACTTCATCCTTGTGGTGTTTCAAGATTTAAAGGTGTAAGATTCAAATCTTAGTAAACTCCTGATCATCTGTGTGAATTGAGTCTTGAATTTAATTTGCAATTAGTCTGTTTTTTAAAAAATGACAAACCGACACCCATTATTTGGAGCACTAGTCCTGCCTGTGCTCAAGAACAGGCTATTCTGAGCCTGCCAGGAAGAACTACATAACTTCTTCAGAAAAGCTACACTTGACTCAATGAAATTAAAAGAAAATAATCTCTACTTTTGTTCAAGGTACCAAAGGCAGTTAAAAATCTGCTCAGTACATTCTGACTTCAGGATTGTTACGGACACCATGCAGAACTTCACCACAGCAGAGAGGAACAGACCCTCACTTTTTATTAAATGGCACATTATGACAACTGTCACTACACCTCTCTCTTCAGAAACTCAGAGAATGATGTAAACATGAAATTTTACCTGAAACACAGAGATGGCACACACGGTAACTAGGATCACTATTCTGACATCCACTTTAGGTGCCAATCTCCTGCTGTAGTAGTGGTAATAATGCCTGTAATACTCTTCAGGATGATCCAGCATGTAGTCATAATCTTTACGTGTTTCTTCATCCTGCAGGATGAGATGAAAAACACATCCAGGTTCAGATTCCTGTTTTCACTTACTCTGTTATAGCTTTGTTTTACATCGCACTAATGACCATGCTGCTGTAAAACTGGCAATAGATCAAGTGAGTATGAAGCACAGAGGAAGATCTTTGGTCTTTTTCTCATATTCTCAATTATTTTGTTCTCAGACTTATCTGACCATTTAAGTAGGACATATGTAGTCTTAAAATGAACAAGCAGGCACTGTGTGAAAGACATTTAAAACTGGAAAATAGACAAGCAGTTGAAATCCACACAATAAGTATTTTTAACTTCAGAAAGAGAAGTCCAGATGGACTGGAGTTAATAAATATTGCTCTGGAAAAGATTTTCAGATGAAGAACCTATTACAAGATTGTTTTACAAAACTTTTATGAATTAGTTTACAGGGCTGTGGAATCTGTCCAATGGAAGGCCATTTCAAAACCTCATTGTTCTCATTTTCTCTGTGTTTTTCTTCATTCTCCCTCATATAATTTTGGGATAGGAAATTTAATTTTGACAGACTCAACTGCATTCCATTCAACACTCCTCCTCCAAAAGAAAAAAAAACCCACCAAACGACTTCCCTTTTTTAATTCCTTGTAGTCTTAAAACACTTACAGGTCTCTTTCTTCTATTCCGGGGCTCCATCTTTGCCAAATCACACATGTTTTGCCCTGACAAGCCTTCCCTTACAGATCGCATATGCTACCCGGGTCACTGCTACTTTTAAAGGTACGCCTCTAAGATAAAGACCAGCCGGCTCGTTAAAAATAAATAAAATATTTTCGAAAGAACGAATCCTAAACACAAAGGGATTTCCAAGGGAACTCCATCCTCCTCCCCGCACTCCCGGGCTGGCTACCGAAGGAGGTTTTTCGTGGTGTTTTTCCTCCCGTCCCTGACTGCTTACCGGAGCGGCTCCGGCCGCGGCGGCGGTCCCGCTCTCTCACCTTGAGGGTCTCGTAGGCGGTGGCGATGAGCAGGAACTTCTCGTGTGCCGCCTGCGCGCCGCCGGCCCCGCCGCCCGCGGGCTCCCCGCGGTACCGGTCGGGGTGGTACTGCCGGGCCAGCTGCCGGTAGGCGCGGGCGATCTCCGCCTTGCTGGCCTGCCGGCTGACGCCCAGCACCTCGTAGCAGACGCGGCGGCCGCAGTAGAGCCCGTCGGTGAGGCCCCGCGCCGTCCGCGGCAGCAGCGCCGCGCACAGGCACAGGCACAGCACCCACGGCCCGCCCGGGCCCCGCAACGCCGCCATTTCGCCGCCGCCGGGCCCGGGCCGCGCTCCGCGCCGTGCGCGCGGCCGGGGGCGGGGCCAGCGCGGGGCCAGGCGGGGTCGCGACAAGAGGCGGGTCGCGACAGAACCCGCGCTTTAAGGGGGTCGGTAGGAGGGAGTTGCGCTCTTCTCGGCGGTGCCGAGCAAGAGGATGAGTCCTTTCCCCCTGATTTCTCCCAGGCTGCGCCTTCTCGTTCTTTCAGCCGGCGGTGTGCCCTTGCGGCCGGGAGCGCCCGCGGAAGCCTGGGATGCACTAGGAAGAACGCTGCCAGCAGGTCGAGGGACGTGATCCTGCACCTCGGGCCCAGTGAGGCCGCATCTGGACTGCTGTGTTCACTTCTGGTCTCCACAGCTCAAAAAGGACATGGAGGTACTGCAGAGGGTCCAGCAGAGGCCACAAAGATGATGAGGGGTCTGGAGAATCTCCCTCATGAGGGGAGACTGTGGGAGCTGGACTTATTTAGTCTAGAGAAGCCTGAAAGGGGACCTTAATGCATATAATATCTCAAAGGTGGGTGCCTAGAGGAAGGTGTCAGAATCTTTTTCAGTGGTGCTCAGTGACAAGACAAGGAGTAGTGGCCATAAACTAAAACACAAGAAGTTCCACCTCAGCATGAGGAAGAACTTTACAATGAGGGTGGCAGAGCACAGGAATAGGCTGCCCATGGAGGTCCTGGAGTCTCCCTCTCTGGAGATACTGGAAACTCACCTGGACATGTTCCTGCTGTTAGGTGTCCCTGCCTTGGCAGGGGGGTTGAACTAGTTGTTCTCCGGAAGTCCCTTCCAACCCTAATGATTCTGTGATTCTTCCAGGGAAGAACTTTTTAAAATAATGCCTGAGCCCATGCCTAGTTTGGGCTTGCTTCTGGCAGAGCTCAGAGTTTGGCCTCCTGTCATGTGGGATCCGGCCCCAAAGTGGGAACTGCCGTGTGCGCTCCCAGCCCCCCTCACTACACAGACCCACAGGGAGCACTCCTGCTGCTGCTACGTGAAGAGACAGCTGAGAGAGGACCTCACTAATGCCTGTAAGTATCTGAAGGGAGAGTGTCAGGAGGGTGGAGCCAGGCTCTTCTTGGTGGTGCCAAGCAATAGGACAATGGGCAGAAAGCGATGCACAGTAGAGTTCCACCTGAACATGAGGAAGAACTTCCTTACTGTGCAAGTGACCATGCACTGGAACAGATTGCCCAGAGAGATTGTGGAGTCTCCCTCATGGAGGACATTCAAGAACTGTCTGGATGCAATCCTGTGTGATGTGCTCTAGGATAATCTTGCTTGAGCAGGGAGGTTGGACCAGATGTCCTTCAATGGTCCCCTCCACCTGACCCTGTGATTCTGTGTGATTCTGCATGCACAGCTCCCCAGGATGGTGGCTGCAACAGCAGGCTTGTGATCTCCTCTACCTGAAGACTTCTCCTGGAAAGGAGGACTACATGTCTGCTCCAGTGTAACCAGCAGGAACATTACCTCGGTGTTAGACCTTTCCCAGGAAAGCCAGAAATATGCCTGACATTGTAAATATCCACCACAAAAATGCTCAGCTCATCAGAGAGCATGTGCTGTTCTTACACTAGAAATGAGTGTGCCTCCCATGTGCCTGGCGTCCTCTGCCTGTCTCCTTTCTGCATTAATAAATGCTTATTATTTCATTGGGAGATGGATGGGTCACAAATCTGTTTCCTCAAAAAAAAAAAAAAAAAAAGCTACCTCTTTGCAGCTCACTAGAGCCCAGCCTCTCAGTGCTCTGGGTTGGCAGTCAACTCCTCAGGCAAATTATGGTAGGTTGACCTGGACTGGACACCAGGTGCCCACCAAACTGCTCTATCACTCCCCCTTCTCAGCTGGACAGGGGAGAAAAAATAAGATGGAAAACAACTAAGTGGCTGAGAAAAGGCGGTTTACTAAAGCAAAAGTTTGTGCACGCACTAGCAAAGAGAAAAAAAATAAATTATTCTCTACTTCCCATCAGCAAGTGATGTCTGGCCACTTCCTGGGAAGTGGGGCTTCAATGTAGATGTTGCTCTGGAAGGCAAACGTAAATAATGAATGCTCTTCCTTCCTCCTCCTTTTCTTAGCTTTTGTATCTGACCTGACAGCATAGGGTCTGGAATATCACTTTAGTTCATTTGGGTTTGCTGGGTAAGTTGTGTCCACTCCCAGAATCTTGCCCACCCCCAGCCTACTGATGGAGGGTGGAACGTTGGAGAAAGCAGTGCTGATGCTGTGCCAGTGCTGCTCAGCCGTAGCCAAAACACTGGTGTGTTGTCAACATCTTTCTAGCTACCAGTGGAAAGCACAGAACTGTGAGGGCTGGTGTGGGGAAACGAACTCCATCTCAGTCAGACCCAATACACTAATGAAGCTCTGACACTGTCACTTAGACTCACTTCTGCCCTGGGACTGGCCCTGGAGCTGTAGGGAGAGGTCATCAGCTGCTCAGTCAGTAAGGAGGCTGGGGGCACCTTGTCTGCTGTGCCCCAGGGGCGCCTCTTGGTTGCCAAGATGATTCTTACGGAGACCACACGTAGCATCGCAACGCTCGAGAGAAAGACGCTGTATGGTGGTCGCACCTCTCTCTCTTGTGGTCTGAACAAGCCGAGAACGGCAAGCGAGGAATTTTTCGGAGCAGCTTTATCCCTCCAGTATTCCAGGCTTTGGAATACAGCGGCTCGGCAGCGACGCTGCGGTCGGTGCTGGGCGGGGCCGCGCCAGTCTCTCAGTGGGTCTGTGCCCGGCCGTGGGCGGGGCCGGGCGGGCACTGGGCGGGGCCGTGCAGTCTCTCGGTCGGTCTGTGCCCGGCTGTGGGCGGGGCCATCTCGGACAGTGGGCGGGGCTCGCCGCCTGCCGGCGCACTTACGGCCGCGCGGGGGCGCCCCCCGCCGCTCCCGGTGCCGTCCGAGCGCCGCCGGGCCCCGCCGGAGCCGCCATGGAGGTCAGCGCGGACTCCGGTCAGTGCTGCCCCCGCAGACCTCCTCCTTGGGGCCCGCCGGGCGGGGCGGCGGCGGCGGGGCCAGGGCGTGTGCGCGGCGGGGGTGGGCGGCGGGAACGGCAGGTCTCTTTCTAAATATAAACCGGCGGTGACTGAAGGGCGGGCTTTGCCGCTGTCGAGGGCAGCCGCAGGGAGGAGGAGGGGGAGGAGGAGGAGGAGGAGGAGGAGGAGGAGGAGGAGGGAGGCGGCCGCCGGCCCGGTGCCGGTGCCGGAGCGAGGTGGGAGGTGCGGAGCGTCTCTCGCCGCCTCCCCTCCCTCCCCAGCCGGCAACATGGCCGCGGCCGCCCAGGACGAGCTCAGTAAGTGGCCGAGCGCCGGGACTGGCAGAGGAGGCGGGTGGGCAGGCCGGGGTCTCCCCGCAGCGGATCCGCTCTGCGGCGGGGCCCGACCCGCTACCCGGCCGGGCGGTGACGGCAGCGGGGCCGGGCCGGCCTTGGGCGGCCATCTCGGGAAGCGGAAACCGAGAGCAGCGGCGCTTCCCGCATCCTGGCCCCTCGGCGGGCGGCGCGGCTGTACCCTCCGCCGCCGGCTGCGTGACCTTGCGGGGAGGGAGCCCCGGGGCGGTGGGACCCGCGGGCACGGGGAGCTGCCTCAGCCCGCCGCCCCTGAGCGGGCATAAGCGGCAGCGCCTCTGCCCGCCAGAGTTCTCGCCCCGTGTTGTTGGACCGCCGTGTTTGAAACACAGAACCGGCGCGAAGACACCGCGGGCAGGCACATCCAGGGGCGGGCCCCAGCCCGAGGTGCGGTGCCGGGCGGGGGATGCGGGAGCGCATCGCCTCCGTGCGGCTCTCGCCACATGACCTGAGGTGCCGCAGCCGCCGGCGTTCGGGGCGGGGGGAGCTCGGCCCTGTGTTCTTGTCACCTCCAAGCCCCTCTCTCAAGAGACTCCGGGGCAGCACACGGTCAGCTGCTCTTTGGAGAAGCCTATGCAACTTTTAAAAAAGCGGTTTTTCTTTCCTTGCCTTTCCTGTCATGGCATAGAGCTGATTCTTAGCCGTGAAGAATTAATACCAAGATAACGTATGACTCAGCCAAATGAGAGGGCCTTTGGTTGCCCTGAAATAGTACTTGGCAGTCACCAGGGAGGAAGGGCAGAAGAAATACTTCGAGCATATTTGTACTATTGGCTTTCAGTACTAAGGCATTTCTGTGTGATGTATCTTCAGGTTTTTTTTTTTTGTTGTGAGCTGCTGTGTAGACAAGCTTTTAGTTCTGCTCTTTGTTAGACGTTACTGGAATTAGCCTAAGTGGAACAGGCATATGATAATGGACGTCCTTTATGGAGCCGGATCCCATGGTGAAGTAAGAAGGATCTTGATCCTGCACTGATCCTTGAACTGGAGGACCCAGATGCCATGCTATTTATTCCACTGACAACTGGGGCAAATTGTAATAATGGCAGTGAAAGCTTTCACTGCTGCTGTCATCCAAGAGATTCTATTGTCAGCTTTACAATACTAAAGCGATTCCCTTTGGTGAAACCAGTTAGCCTGAGATCTCTTGCTTGTAACTCCTTGGCATTTATCTGTGTGTAATCTAGCTTCCCAGCCTCCAAATATGATCTTGCAAAAAATTAGTCTGCAGCCATGTGCCTGTTGCTACACAGCCCTTTCCGTTAAACTGTGCTAAAAGGACAAATGTCCCTAAATTGAGATTCACATTAATAATTACATGTTGTCATTCGGGTTACTTGACCACTGCATCCTTCAAAATTGAGAAGGTTTTATTGGTTTGGTTAGTAATCTTTTTAATTTGTTTGGGGGGAGGAATATCTTTTGGGATTTTTTGTTTGGTTAGTTGGTTGTTTTGTTTTGTTTTGTTTTTTCCCCTGATGCCTCATCTGTCACTGAATAGAAAGTACCATAGTCTTAAAAAATAATTAAAGCTAATGAAAAAAAGAGTAACTTTATGTAGAGAAAGAGGGGGAAACTAAGGTTCTCTACGGGCTTGCTGTCTTTTGATATGTTCAAATAGTTAAATTTCAGGATATTTG